GCCTGACTCAGTCCCAGACATCACTGTGGTGCACAGCCCGACTCAGTCCCAGGCATCACTGTGGTGCACAGCCCGACTCAGTCCCAGGCATCACTGTGGTGCACAGCCTTCCAAAGCATAACCCGACTCAGTTACAATTACTTATTCTTTCAGTATTCAATTCACCTTTAGGGGAGGCATTTCTATTTATGTTTTTGATTCAAATTCCTTCAAAATTTTCTCCTTGTGTAATAACAATTAAAAAACGGGTTGGAAACACTGATGTTGAGGGAGGTACATATTAATCTCTGTATATGGAGTAGGAGGGAGAACATTCAAGAGCTGAAGAAGCAGCAGCCTTCCCTACTCCGTGTGCAAGCCTGAGGCACAGCACTCACAGCAAGTCAGTCCAAGAAAAGTGCTTTGTACTCATTATTTATTTTACCCTCACAACTCTATGAAGTCATAAGCAAGTTTCCAGGAAAAAAAAAGACACACCTGGGATAAAGATCCTACAAGGCCAAATGACCAAACTTCGTGAATGTGGAAATGTTAAAATGCTACAGATCAGAGCCAAACCATCTAGAGGTACTTTTAATCCCTCAGAAAGCCATTTAGAGCCCATCATTGTGACTATGGAAACATTTACAATGTATTCTTAGCAGACCACCAGTCTCTACCTAAGGATGTCAACCCTGAGACCTATGACAGGGTTTCCCCACTTTGCTGTACCGCTACTTGCCCCACGTAGTTCATGCTCCTGATGTGGCACAATGCCCTGACCAAGGCAGATTAAAGGAGAACAGGATTATTTTGTCCCATAGTTCATGGTTGTAGCTCACTGTGACACGAAGTCAAGGTAGACAGTGTAATTAATGGAAGCAACTGGTCAAGTCACATCCACAGTTACAAAACAGTGAGGATGTCCATTGCATCCGATGTTCATATAAGCATGCAGCACAGCTCACTGTGGTGTGAGAAGCCCTTCCTGGAGTAAGAATCTGGGAAACCATTCCCATACACAACACAGAAACCAGCCTCAAAACATATATCCCCTCGCTAACATCAAGTAACTTGAGATTTTTAGGAGAAAATGGGAAAACAGAAATATAAGGGAAGAGGACATATATTGAGGAGGAGGATTCTGCCATTTGGTATCCCAGCTGGTTTTACGTTTGATAAGTATGTGATTTAACTTTCTAAGTGTTTGGAAATATGGATAAACGTAACTAAAGACGACATGGCTCTAGGGTTTCATCAGTGGAGAACTTGTGATATTCCTAAATTGGTATGTTTTGCACATCAACCTAGAAGTGTTAGGCAACAGAACTGAAGATGATGTAGCTATTGTCTGCTTTAACAGAATTTAAACACATTTACAAGCAGAAATGATAAAAGCGCTAGCTTACATGAGATGAATAACAAGAATTTTGGAAACTGCAGCAGAACTGAAGAAAAGTAAGCCAATGTCATGGGTGTCTTTTCAATAAAATCATTAAAAAACAAACCCAGAAACAGGCCTCACAACCTTCACAAGAATTCAACACAAATGGCAGATATAACCACAGAATTAAAAACTAGAAACTAGAGCAGTTCTCAACCTTTGAGTCTAGACCTCTCTGGGGGTTGCATATCAGATGTTTGCATTTTGATTCATAACAGTAGCAAAATTAGTTATGGAGCAGCAGTGAAACAATGTTATGGTTGGGGTCCCCACAACATGAGGAACTGTATGAAAGGGTTGCAGCGTTAGGAAGGTGGAGACCACAGAACTAGAAGATAACCTAGGAACATGTGGGAGACTTGGGTATCATACTGGTTAATGCCAATTGAGAACTTGACAGAATCTAAAATCATGTTGGAGAAGGGCCTCCGGGCACATTTGTGGGGAATTATCTTGGCTATGCTGATTGAGTTACATCAAGTGGGAAGACCAGCCCACTGTAGAGGGTTCCTGGGCTGGGATCCTGGATTGTATGGGTCTTCCACATGCATTCGCTGTCCAAATTCTGAGCGTGTTGTGACCTATGGCTGGGAGAACCTGCCACCCCGATCTCTGTGCCATGCTGGACTACCATAGCAACAGGAACCAAATGACGGCAGGAGCAGCAGTGGCTTCTCGGAAATAACGGAAAGACAATCCAGGGGAAGAACGAGAGCTTCCCTTCATTAAAATGAAAAAGAAAAAAAAGAAAGAAAATACTTTTGCTCTGCTAAAGACTATGTCATGAGAATGGAAAGAGAAACCACAGGCTGAATGAAAATATTTGCAAAAAAAAAAAAAAAAACTTCTGATAAAAGCTTATTACCAAAAAGAAAAAAACTCCTAAAAATTGAGAGTAAGCAGTACAACACTTACGTAGGGGTCCAGTGCCCTGGATTTGGTTCTTAGGTTAAAACCTTCCAACAATAAGAAGACAACTAATCTGGTCTACTGCACACCTACTAGAATGTCCCCAATCCACAACCCAATGCTACCAAATGCCAATGAGGATGCCTGCAACAGGAGCCGATGAAGGGCATGCAAAGCGGCCCAGACTCTTTGGAAAACCCTTTGCTAACTTCTCACAGAATGAAATGCAGACTTCCTTACCACACCAATCCAGTAACTGTGCTCTCTGGTGTTCACTCAAATGAACTGAGAACTTATGTTTAGAAGAGAATGTGTATACAGGTGTCCATCCGTACAGCTTGCCCATAAGGGCCAAACTCTGAAAGCTACTTGAATGTCCTCCAGTAGGTGATAAATATCCAGCATATATTACTAAGTGAAATAAACCATTTTGAAAGGTTATATATTACAGCAATCTCAACTAGCGGACACTCTGGAAAAGGCAAACTCCTAAGACAGTAGAAACACGAGTGGTTGTAAGGGTATGAGCTGAGGGAAGATGAACACACTGAACAAAGTACTTCCAGGGCTATGCAAACATTGTGTAGAATACTTCAATAGTGAATACAGACTACAGTTTTTTCAAAACCCATAGAAAATGCAACACCAAACATGAACGCTAACATTCCTCTTTTTATTTTTTTAACCAATACTACAACTTTTGGTGTTGTGGCATTTGAAGGATTAAAAAAGTTCAGATACCCATAAAACATAACACAAAAGACTCTGATGCAATAAAATAATATTCCTGGGTTTTCCAGGAGCACCCCTGACTTTGTCACTTCACACTGAGCAGCACTCCAGGGTTCCCACAAAAACCTGTTTACATTATCTTACCACTTAGAACAAACATGCCAGAAAGGCTAACAGACCTGCTTCCCTGGCCCCAGCTTGCTGCCACCCGGCCTAGCAGAGGAAGCTGTCTATGCAGCTTCTATGAAGAGAAAACTGAGCGGCACATTCCTGAAGGGAGGTGAAGCTGTGTCCTACTCACTAAAAATGACTGTCTTGGAATAAAAGTCTGAAAGCCATTGAGGCTCTGTTGAAATTGACACTCAAGAGAGGGATTTTTTTTTAGTGAAGAACAGACGGCACCAAATACTGAAACTGGGACTTGGCAAGGCTAAAGATGAGGGAGCCAAAGTGAGTCATGGGAAGAGGGAACCGTAGTTGAGAAAATGCCCCCACCAGATTGGTCTGTAGGCAAGCCTGCAGGGCATTTTCTTCATTAATGATTAATACTGGAAGGCACAGCACATTGTGGTTTGGGATGGTATAAGAAAGCAGTCTGAACAAACCAGTCGGCAGCATTGCTCCCTTGTCTCTGCATCGGTTGCTGCCTCCAGATTCCTGCCTTGAGTTGCTGCACCAACTTCCCAGATGACTATAGAAGCTATAAACTGAAATAAACCCTTTCCTCCCCAAGCTGCTTTTGGCTATGATGTTTTACCACAGCATTAGAAACCCTAAGAAAGTCCCCAGTAGAAGGATGCCTGCTTTGGTTTCTAGATGAACCAGCGCATGGGGGTGACAGGTCAGAGAATGCCTAGCTCAGGAGTGTTAGCCTGACCACAAGCACTCACTGGTCAAACAGACCTGTATCTCATCAGCACTCTGCCTTCCAGCTCATGTTTCACAAGAGCAGAGAGCTGTGTCTCTGGTCCCACAATGAGGACCAACCTGAAACACCCAGTTCATACAACTACAGCTTCTCAGAGAAGTGAGGGCCTACCGATAACTAGTACCCAGATGAAAGAGCTTCCAGACACCACAGACGATTACTAAAAAGGAAAGGACACTTATGAAGGAAGCTCCTCCCATGACTTTTTAAGCTCACGTTTCTCCCAACACCTGAGGGATGGAGTAGGTGTTAACTTGAACTTACAGAGGAGGAAACTGAGGCACAGAACAGTCATTACGATGAAGGTAGAAAGCCTTGTCTACTTAGAAAGCACTCAAAGTGGGGGCCTCAGAGAGAGACCTAGTCCAGCCTCACTGGGTAAGAGCTGCCTTCTGAAAGGGAGAGAAGGTTCAGCCTTTCACTTGACCACAGTGAGGCAGCCGAGGGCCGGACACATTCCTCTGCCATGTCCAACATGGACATACAACCATACACTTTAAATTTTAAATTGATTGAGTGAAAGAAAGCAGTCAATGTCTTGGTAACACTGGGCATATCTGTAGTGCTCAAGAACCACGTGTGGCAGGCAGCTCTCACCACACTAGGCAGAATGGACAGTTCAAGCCTGGAGTGTACCCTCCTAGGCAGATGTGGCAGCCTGCACCCTATGGTACAAGGCTGGCACTGCTGGCACCTGCAGCCAGACTGGGAGTCCAGCAACTGCTTGCAAGCAGCTCTGAGAACACAGGCAAATCTGAGCCTCTCTGCAGGAGCATCTTAGGATTCTGCTCACAATCCCACACAGGAGACTGTGGAATCCTCCTAGCCTTCGATCCATGCTGGGCCCTTTGTTAAATTAGAGCAAGGGCCATTAGGTGTTGACTACTTTCCGGAAGCATCAGTCACTAAATCCAAATTAATGTGCTTTAATTATTTCAAGGGTTAACATATGAAACAGTCAAAAACCAACCAACCAAACAAACAAACAACAAAAAAAAAACTACTCACCAGGAAGGCCAGCTAGAAATAGAGAAGAGGCTCAGCTCACCCCAATGTCCTTTCCATATAAACCTAGGAGGAAAAGGTTACAATTTAGGGCCAGAAAAAGACAAAACAAATCAAAAGAAAGCAAAAACACATACACAGAAAAATAAACAAAACATGGTCTTGTTAAGATGAATGAGCCTGTTTCCATTTGTCACAGAATGAAAATAACAGGCCTGTAAGATATACGTATGAATCAATGCCTAAGCATAGGAAGCCCCCTTTCTACAGAAACTCTATCTTTTTTTCTCTCTAGCACAAAGCTGTGACCTCCTGGCCTTTATCTCCACATATGGCGAACATCTTAAGCAGAGGCTATGTCTACTACCTCTTGGAAGATTAATATAAAAGTATGATGCTTTGAATGAAAGCAGCCTCTATAGGCTCATATGTTTGAATGCTTGGTTGCCAGTTAGTAGTTTGGAAAGGATTAGGTCGTGTGGCCTTTGTTAGAGGAGATGTGTCATTGGGGGGTGGCCTATGAGGTTTAAAAATCCCACATCCTAGGTGTTAACTTCAGCTGATAAATGAGGAAACCGAGGCACAGACAGGTCATTATGATGAGAAACATAGAGCCATGCAATTCCAGGAGCCAGGAGAGATAATGGGGGAAGGGAGGATGCTAAAGTTGTCTCTCTCTTTTGCCTGCTGTCTATGGATCAGGATGTAAAGCCTCGGCTACTGCTCCAGCACCATGATGATCAGGGACTAACCCTCTGAAAATGTGAGCAACCCCCCAATTAAATGTTTTCTTCTGTTAGTTGCCTTGGTCATGATATTTCTTTGCAGCAATAGAATAGTAACTAAGCCAAGAATGACGTAGGAGCGTCTTCTATCTATCTGTTGCTTTCATTGGTTAATTAATAAAGAAAACTGCTTGGCCTGATAGGTCAGAACATAGGTAGGCAGGGAAGACAGAACAGAATGCTGGGAGAAAAAAAAGCAGAGTCAGGCAGACGCCATGAAGTTCCGGCCCAAGATGGATGTAGGTTAGAATCTTCCCAGTAAGCCACCATCTCGTGGTGCTACACACATTAACAGAAATGGGTTAATCAAGGTGTGAGAGTTAGCCAGTAAGAGGCTAGAGCTAATGGGCCAGGCAGTGTTTAAATGAATACAATTTGTGTGTTGTTATTTCGGGTGTAAAGCTAGCCGTGCAGGAGCCAGGCGGGACAAAAAACAGGCCTGCTTGCCTCATCACTACACAAGAGTATGCTTTAACTGGTAAATGGTGGCTTGTGCCTTTAATCCCAGGACTTGGGAAGTTGAAGCAGGAGAATTGCCATGAGCTTGAGGTTCGCCTAGTCTACACAGTGAGTTCCAGGACAGCACGGGTTAATGTGGTTTGGTGATCTTCTCACCATACTATACTGAGGAAATTCAAAAGCAGAGTTCAGGGCCAAGGAAAACAGAAACCTCAAATCACTGGGCTAAAGGGAATTATTTATCCTGGGAGAATTCAAAGAGGCTGGACTGTGACAATTTTAGCATCCCCCCCATTATCTCTACTGGGTCCTGCAATTACATTAATTAGCTTTAATTAATTAAAATGGCAATAGGAAGTGCCAAGTCAGTCACAGCACATTGGTAATTGACTCACACCTCACAGTAAATTATTTCTATTTTGCAGTAGATGCCACCTAGGCATGGAAAGATGAAGTAACTTCTTCAAGGTCACACAAGTAGAAAGTGGCAGGGCTGGGACTTAAGTCCTATCTGTCAGGCTTCTATGTTGCCAGTATACAAGCTCCTTTCTAATACTGACGATGAACATTTAAAAAATCATTGAAAAACATTTCAGGGCCATACAACCAAAAAGAAAAAAAAAACAATTGGGCTTGCTTAGCAAACAGCTTGCAGACTTGTCCCTAACACTCTTCCAAACTTCCAGCTTTAACTCTTTTCTGTTGAGAAGTTCTAGAGAATGCCAATCTTTTAATTTTGCCATATTCTCAACATTTACTCTTAAACTCCCTCAGCATGGTAAAATAACCAAAACAAACAAACCACTGCCACCACCACCACCACCAACAACAAAAACCATTGAGTTCATGGTAACAATCAACTAAAGACATTATCTACCAGCAAAACTGCAATTCCAGCTAGGTTCTTAGCAAGGGCACTTTACAGGGAACAGAGACCAAGTGGGTCCTGGTAACTCCAGTCCTTCACATTGTTATAAACCAGTTTACATGTGACCCCACGAACTGGGCTCTTAGGAACATGTGACCTGTTGGAAACAGTTCTACTTTCTCTTCCGTGGGCACCGTGTTGTAGACACTGACACTGCTGATCTCTGGGCTTTAGAATGCTTGAAAACACTTTTTATATTTTATACACTTCTCAGAACAATCTTGTGAGCAGAAAAAAAGACAGTCTTTCAAAGGTACAAAAATAAAATAAATGAACTTCAACTACAAAATCAACACAAAAAGTCTGAGGGGGTCTGCTCTTCACGAACTATGTTTCATTATCTGTGCAAGCCACTGCCCCTTTCTTAGGTTTGGTTTTCTCTTTTGTGAAATCTATTGTACTTTCTTCAGAAGACTGACATAGCTGGTCAAGAGTAGGCACATGGATGGGTATGGTGGCTCATTCCTGGAATCCTTGAATTAGAGAGGCCAAGGCAAAAAAAAAAAAAAAAAATCAAGAGTTTAAGACCAGCCTGGACTACGAGGTCAGTTCCAGGCCCACCTGGGCTACAGAGACAAAGGAAGGGGGGGAGGGGAGAAAGGGTGAGCAGGAGAAAGGGAAGGAGGGATAAAATAAATGACACACCTTTTCATAATCACCTGTCATAAAAAATTTCAAAACCAAGTTATACCCTTGAGATTTCATTTTTAATTTTTAACAGGTTTATGATCATAAAATTTCTCAAGGAATGCCCACTTTCAGGTTCTTCTGGAAACTTCTTGCTCCCCAGAGAGAGGAAAAAACACATATGAATTAGAAACTCAAGACAGGCATAACTTTTGTTTCAAAACCTAAGGAAAACAAAATAAGTCTACTTGGCCCTGAACCTAAAACTGTGGATTTCCTGTGAACACAAATGCTCCAAGCTCCCTTCCTTGCAGCCACAGATGAATTATATATGTTGAGCAAGAAAGGCATTTCTATTAAAAACTAGGGTCCACGTGGCCCTCATAGCACAGTTTGCTCCCAGGCTCCATGTCACAAGGTGGTCAAAAGTAACAATGTCCCAGAATTCCAAGATCCTGACTTCTCTGCAGAAGCACCTCCCAGGCTGGCCTCAGCCAATAGCATCTATAGCCATGAGCCTCACTTATGCTGACCTGTGGTGTGTGTGTGTGTGTGTGTGTGTGTGTGTGTGTGTGTGTGTGTGTGTGACGAGACTGTGTGGAAAAGGGAACAGAGGGATTCCTCTTGAGGGCACTCTGCTTTGTGTTTACACACAACAGGACGCAGCAACAATTTAAATGTAGAAGTTTCTGGTTTGACTCCACTCCCTTATAAAGGTCGGATTATACAATGCTCATAAGTTTCAGGGAAGGGGCTTGCAGGGACTGTCGACCTGGGCTGAAAAGCTTCTCTTAGACCTCAAATGTAGACGAGGAAAACAAAACGGCATTTGGCGACTCCGAGCAGCCGGAGACTGATTCTCCACTGTCTATGATCCCCGATACACAGACTACACATGATGACTTTACACGGTTCTCACACCGTACTGCCTCTGGATCACACCCAGAAGGGTTGACTCCACAGGTCTGGGTGTGGCTGGGTGTTATGATTTTCAGCCCCTCCCAGCTGATGCTGCCACCCAGACAAGTGTCTGTCTCACACCCTGGGAACATCTGCTTCCTTAAAGCTGTTAGACCCCCGTCCCCCCAAGCATTGTTTTCTTTCTAACCAACACTTTCAAAAAAAAAAAGCAGATTAAAACCGCTAAACTTTGTTCAAGGCAAGAGGGTTAAGGTCAGCCTTTCCCGTGTGCAAGTTTCCCTCCGCCTGCCTACACAATGCCCATTACAACACAGAGTGAGTAAGCACGGAACACACCTCCCAGCAGAAGGTAAAAAGGACTGCTTTGAAAGGGTCAGAAAGGCTGTGTACTACCAAGTCGGCTGTGACAGGCTCCACTGCCCTTTGGACTTCTTAACATGGCTTTTCCATCCCCAGAGCTCCACCTGGCTCCTCCTAGACACAAATCTCTCACTCTCAGGGACCGTGGCTCTGCTCCCTTCCTCCACTCTCTAGCAGCTGCAGCTGGCTACCTTTCCCAGCCTCTCCCTTGGTGGTTTCCAGGTGGACCTTCACACCCATAAATACCTTCAGGGCAGCAGGCAGGGAGCTGGGTGGGGAGACAGTGTTTCCTAAGGCTCTTCCTCAGGCCAGGTTCTTGCCCACTCAGCCATCCCAGGCAGGGTGAAGCCAGGTGACAAAGAGGGACAGAGCCCAACCAGCTTCTGCAAAGCTCCTAGTTCTGGGGGTTGAATCGAAAAAACAATACAAAGCCAGGAAAAGAAGAGGAACGGGGCTGTAATCTTCTCTCTGCCATTTACTTGCTAGTTTTATTACTTTAGTTATTTAGAAGTGCCTCAATTTCTCTATCTGTAAAGTAGAAATTAATGTTTTGACACAATTCTTCCTGAAACTTTTATCAAATTATGTTATAATTTTAATTTAATACAAATTCTCTAGACAGAGACTTCTAGATACTATAATTTATCTTTATGTTCTATAGATTTATATTCTACAAATACAGCTTGTCACTAGCAATGAAAGATTAATAAAAAATGTACTGAATTCAAGATAAAAAGAAGTCTAGAAGAAAGACAGAAATATAGGCAAAATTACCTAGCCCAAGGTAATCATTAGCAAACTGGTTGACTAGCTTGCTACAGTAAACACAGACTAGAAAAAAAATATTAATATGATCAAAGAAGATGTAAAACAGACCAAAGTCCCATTCAGTAATTTACAAATTCTATGTCAGGCGCTTGCACGCGTACCCCCCCCCCCCACGAGACTCAGAACAATCTAGAGAGGGGCAGATGCTGCTAGCCTCG